CACATCATCCACATCATCAACATAGACGTCATCATCCTCATAATGCTCCGCGTCCCGCCCTAACTTTTGCCATGGGCTTCCCCTCGCCGCCCCCATCCTCTTCTGGCGAGAGCACAACAGGCATGCCGTGCACAAGCCCATCCCCCAATACTCTTTTCAAGTCTGAGTGCCCGATTCAGTAAGGCACCCAGGCCGCGTGCCTTTGCAATCACAATACGCCTAGCCCACCAACATTGCTCGACGGCCGCTCCCCAAGACTTCCCCCTTTGCGTCTTCGTTGCGTGTGCCTCTTCCTCGTCCTCCTCCACCTCTTCTGCCGACTTTTTCTCCAGTTCGCCTCCGTGTCCTTCGCCCATCTGCATTTGGAGGCGGCCAGGGGTCTGAACTGGCTGGGGCCCCACAAGATCCCAGGGGGAGATATAGCCAAATCCGTTCAAAGTCGGTCCCCAGATGCCTCCCGGAGCCCATATGATGCAGTTGTTGTGCGACGGCATGGGGGCGGCGAGTAACACAGAATGGAACCACTGTGTGGCTCAATTGGAAGTTCCTACGAGTGGGGCTACGCCACCCTGCGGGGCACTGACGATCGGTGCAGCACGACGAGGCTCCAGCACAGCCTTGATGCAGTGAGGCCCGCCGCTGCAGCGGCCAGCCTGGATGGGATTACACTCGTCAGAAGATGGCCGTGCGCTGCAACGGTGCTGCCGCTCGGGCGGTCTCCCCGTGTGGTGGTCCCGCGATCCCTCCCCTCCTTCCCCACGTCTCCCACCTCGCCAACAAAACAGTGCTAGGATCGGGATCAATCGCTCCAGAGCGTTCCGGAGCGCTTTCAGAGCGCTCCAGAACGCTCTGGAGCGGCCGCGGCGCCCAATACATCCTCCAAACCCGCCGATTCCCAGAGATTTCGGGTTATCCCGATCCGATTTTGTCCCGATCTTCGCGTCGTTTTAGCCAAGCCGTCGACATTGGGATCATGTTGCTCCGGCCCCCGCCCCCAAGGGTCCTTCGGGGGGGAGGGGCACAGCACTTGGGGAACTCTACTCGGAGCTCCCAAGGCACGATTGGGCGCCTGCCGCGTGGTCGCCGGGGTTGCGGGAGGAGTAAGAGAGATTCTCTCGAGGTTCAGCGGCAGGGGGAATGAGAGAGAACAGCCCAGCTACAGCGAGGGCAAAGCTAGGGCGGGCCGCGCCGAAGCAACCAGGAAAAACGTAACGGAGCAACGCCCGGCGCAGACAAGGGCCGAGCAATCAACAGGACGAGAGAGAGGGCAGCCTTGAACGATGACCATGACGAGGAGGGAGCCCGAGTGCGCCACGCTCACCCGGGAGGCTGGAAGATTCCGCCACGCGCAAGAAATTGTGGGGCACGCTCTTCTCGAACCATTCGAGCCGTGCTGCCATCTCCTCCTCCGGCCAGCCCGCGGGGGGGCGGGGGCCCGCGCGGCGGCGAGCCGGCCCCCCTCTGCTATGACAGCTGCTAGAATCAGGTCGGACACGTCCTCCTACAGGCGGAATTTGGACGACAAGTGAAGAATACCGAGAAAAGAATCAAAACTATTCAGACAACAGCATCAAAATATCGTCCCCAGACTATTTGTCAGACTTTCTGAATATTCCTCCTGTAGAAGGACAGGCCCGACTTGTTGCTAGCCTCGGAAGCCTGATTTCCCAGTCGTGCGCTCCGAGGATGAGTTTGCACATGTCGGGGTCGGACGTTTCCCCGAATCAGGAATCCCACTTCGTCAAGGAGAAAGCCGCGGTCGATCTCGGGCTCCGTCCGGGGACCCTGTTTGCGCTCGGTCGACAAAGCGCTGGATGGCCCTTCGGCGCGGCCGCCGATCTTGCAGCTCAGGGCCCTCCCTGTCCTTGTCGGCCTTCGGCTTGTCCACCCGCTGCTCGCAGCCTTTCAGCTCCGACGCGATGTGGCCAAGGACCAGATGAGTTATCTCAACTGTCATGTGTCGGCCACCGCGCGCGCCAAGTCGCGGATCTTCTGCGTGTTCTGAAGCGTGAGGGCCATGAGTTAACGGGCGAAGAACGGTGTAGAATACACTTTTTCGCTGTCGGGGGCGCCTGTCCCAGGGCGGCTGGAAAGTTTATACCCTTACGGTGGCACCGTAGGGGTATAAACCTTCCAGCCGCCCAGGGGCAGGTGTCCCCGACGGCGAAAAAGTTTAGGTTATACCGATCTTCGCTCGCTGAGAAGCGTGAGGGCCATGAGCGGGATGAGTGGCGAGTGGGGCTGCCTGTCCTTGCAGGTAGGTCACGTGCTTATCTGAAGGGGCCCTGGGACACACAAATAAATCCGCCGATCAGGCGTGTGAGTTTCAAGGAGTCTCAGCTACAGCCTCGAGGCTGAGCTTCAGCCTCTGGGGGGGTCGCCGGGGTGGCTCTGCCGGGGAAGGGGGGGTGGGGGGGGGGGGGGGGTTGCGAGTTTCCGGCGAACCCCGGGGCCGCTCCGGGGGAGTGGAAGATAGGGGGGGGGGGGGCGCCATGCTCCGCTTTTTCCGGCGCTTTGGAGGAGGGGGGGGGCCCAAGAGACCCCCAAGGGGTTCCAAGAGGGCCCCGAGTCGCCGAAAAATCGCTCCAAGACGCCCGAGATGGCCTCCAGACGGCCCAAGGTGTCTCCAAGACGCCCCAAGAAGCTTCCAAGAGGCCTCCCAAGAGGGCCCCAAGAGGCCAGAATCGTTGATTTTCATTGGTTTTCTCAGGGTTTTTAGCGTTCTTGCCTTTTCGGGCGTCCGACGCTCGAAGACGGCCCAAGAGGCCCCCAAGTCCGTCCCAAGACGGCCCACGATGCTTCCAACACGGCCCAAGAGAGCCCCAAGACGGCCCAAGAGGGCCCCAAGACGGCCCAAGAGGGCCTCTGGACAGCCCAAGAAGGCCCCAAGAGAGCCCCAAGAGGGGCCCAAGAGGGGGACCACGAACCGAAAGAACCGAGCTTTCCGCCCCAAGAGGCCCCCAGGAGGCCCCAAGAGACCCCCAAGGGGCCCCAAGAAGCCCACAAGAGGCCCAAAAGAGGTTCCAAGAGGCCCCAAAACAGCTCCCCAGAGGCCTCCAGACTGCCTCCGGCAGGCCCCCGGTTTCTTCCGCGGCACCGCCCAGGGCGCCACCGGCAGGATGTCCTCCGTCTCATCGTTTTCCTTCAAGTTATCGCCTCTTCCTCATTCTCCTCCTCCTCCTCTGCGACCTCACTCCTATCCCTCAACGATCGCGTCACCGAGTGCCTCTTCTTTGAAACATCCTCGCTCTTCAAACGCACATCCATACACACATGCATACATACCTACATTTAAAAACATTTGCATACATAGAAAAACAATCTTCCAGACATACATACTTACATTCACACACATACACACATATTATCATACACACATACAAACATACATACAAACTAAATACATACATACGCGCACAAGCATACATACATACATACGTACCTACACACAGGCACACATGATCAATGCATGCATACATGCATGCACGCGTACATACACACACATATATCGTGAAACTCACCGCGTGCTCGAAACTTGAGAGAGACCGCGGGAAGTCGAGAGAAGCCGCGGAACGAGGCCTCTACTACTACTACCACTACTACCACAACCACTACTACTACTACTACTACCACTACTACTACTACTACTACTACTACTACTACTGCTACTACTACTACTACTACTACTACTAATACTACTACTAGTACTACAGGAGCGTTTCCCAACTAGTATGTGTGTGTGGGTGATGCTGTGTGCGCATGTCTGCGGCGCAGGTTAAGTGGTGTGACTGTGTGTGTGCGTTTGAGTGTGCGCCCATAATTTCTGCGTCTGGAGAATAACCCCGAGCGACCCGGATCGGCGGCACTGGCCGAAGGCCACTACAATACTATAAGATCTCTCGGTGCGCGCGTCGCCCCCGTGGGGGCGACGCACACATAGTGAAAGTATGTTGGGGTGACGCCGACTCTACACTGTACAGATTGCGCCCCGGAGCTTGCACCACGCAGTCTGCCCCACAGAGATTCACCATGCAGCCTTTAACCGACCCAAGAAACCCGCGCGGATCGTCGAAAGTTTGCGTCGATGCCGCTGCTTCTCCCTCGAGCTCCCTCCCGCCGCCCCAGGCCCTCGAGCGCAGTCCAACATGGATTCGGGGTCCATGGATCTGGCGCGTGCACGCCCATCAAGCACGGCAAGCGGGACCCGCCGCGGATCCGCGCGCCCCCATCCGCGCCTTCATGCCCCCCAGCCCCTCGCCCCTGCGCCCCCCCTCCCCGCCCCCCGCATCCCATCCGCCGCCCGCGCCCCCCCCCTTCGGGAGCGGCCAAGAGGGGGGTGTCCAAGAAGGAGGGGTGCAAATCATGCCCGGCGGCCTGTGCGTGGCCCAGCGGGGGGGCCAGGGACGTAAGGAAAGACGAAGAGGCGCCATGGAGTCTGGGGAACTATCATGGCCCCCGCCATGATATCCACCCCCCCCTAAGTCATCACCCCCCTCTTTTCCGCCCCCGACCCAAGCCCTCGAGCGCAGTCCAACGTGGATTCGGGGTCCGTGGATCTGGCGCGTGAACGCCGATCAAGCACGGCAGCGCGGGACCCGCCGCGGACCCGCGCGCCCCCATCCGCGCCTTCGTGCCCCCCGGCCCCTCGCCCCTGCGCCCCCCTCCTCCCCGCCCCCCGCATCCCCTCCGCCGCCCCCGCGCCGCGCCCCCCCCCTCGGGAGCGGCCGAGAGGGGGGTGTCCCAAGACGGGCGGGGTGCAACTCATGACCGGCGGCAGGTGCGCGGCCCAACGGGGGGACCAGGGACGTAAGGAAAGACGAAGAGGCGCCATGGAGTCTGGGGAAAGATCATGGCCCCCGCCGTGATGTCCACCCCCCCCCCTAAGTCATCACCCCCCCTCTCTTCCGCCCCCGGCCCCTTCTCCGCCTCCCGCCTCCCGCCGCCCGGGTTCCGGTGGTCGCGCCGCCGCCGCCCGAGGGGGCGCGCGCTGGGCGCCGGGCGGTCTGCTCGTAGAACTCGCTCCTCGCGGGGGAGGGCGGGTGGGGAGAAAACGGCGATCGAGGAGGAGGAGGAGGGGGAGGAGGAGGAGGAGGAGGAGGAGGAGCACCAGTGCAAAAACCAAGACGCATCAACGGTGTTGCAATAAACCCTCCCTCAAAGATCCATCTTCATGGGTCCCAAAGGAATCGATTTAATTGCCCAAAATGGCCCATTAGAAGACAACCGTCTGAAAATCCCCACTCGTGCCAAAACATCGTTCCTGGGAGTTCAACGCCACGGGTCACCATGACTGCTGCGTCCTGACAGTCCTACATCACGCCAAAACACCATTTTTGGTACTTCGACCATACGGGTCCGTGAAACGGTTGCGAACTTTGAAGACACATGTGCACGGCACAAAAAACGAGAACCACAATTTGAAAAGGAGCCGCCCACCATCCGTGAAGCTGTAACAAATTCTTAAGACGAATGCGCGTGGCGCGAAGGCGAGAGCCACAGTTTGTGAACACGAAACGCCCTCCTTTTGTGAAGCTGCTGCAAACTTGTAAGACGAATGTGCGCTGCGCTAAAGCGAGAACCACATGTTGACAAAGAATCGCCCTCCATCTGCGCAACTGTTGCGATCTTTTCAAGCGAATGTGCGCGGTACCATCGCGAGAGGCAGATGTTCACAAGGAACGGCCATTAATCCGTGACACGGGTGCAAACTGCTAGGGCAAAAACGCTAAACGCTAGGCGTTACTGCGAGAACAACAACTCGAGCACGACCAGCCATCCATCCGTGAAACTGCTGCTATATTTTCAATGGAATGTGCTTGGCGCTAAAACGGGAACCACATTTTGAGAAGGACCCGCCCTCCATCTGTGAAACTGCTGCAAAGATCAAGCATCCATATCATAAGCCTGGCCCGCCCTACTGACACGACTGGGGGTGCGGCAGGGAGGAGTTAACGATATGGACAAGGGATGGAGGAGGAGGAGGAGGAGGAGGAGGAGGAGGAGGAGGAGGAGGCTCGAGGATCGAGGGGGCTCGTAGTGTCTTCTGGGCGCTGTCGGTGGGCTCGCGGTGTTCTGGGGGGTTCAGGAGGAATTGTCCCAGCTCCTCCTCCTCCTCCTCCTCCTCCTCCTCCTCCTCCTCTTCCTGGCTCCACCTTCGGACCCCGCGATGGTCAACGCCCATCAGCTGGACACGACGAAGTTGGCAGTGATCCTTACTTTCCTCGGCGTGGTCATACCTGACAAGATGGCGGCTGGCCATCTGTTGGCCGCCCAGCCCCCGTCGTGCGCGCAGTAGCCTCTGGTCCAGGCGGCGCCGTCAGTAGCGAAGATGGGTCTAAGACAACTGTGCTAAGGCGACGCCAACTGGAGAAATCTGGTTCGGATGCGCAAGGACTTGCATCGGCGGCAGTGCCGCCGACAGCCGCCAACATTGACGTGGTCGGCAGCCCCAGCCCCCGAGGTGGCTGGCAAGGGCGCACCCTGGGCGGCAGCTCCGCTCACTCCTCGCCAGGCTGCTCAGGGGAACGAACAATGACACAATCATAAGAACTCGAAGGTCCGCGCGGAGGTCTCGGATCGGCGCTGGACCCCCCTCCCTGGCGCGCGGAGCGCGCCAGGGACGGCGCCGGAGGCGCCGCCAGGGGGCCCCATGGCGCCGATCCGAGAGAATCCGCGCGGACCTCTGAGTTTTTCTGTTTGTGTCATTGTTTGTTCCCCTAGGAGGCCCGAGGCTGCCGGCCCGAGGGCAGAGAAGGAAAAAAACGAGCGGGCGGAGAGGAGAGTCGAGGCCCTCCCTGCCGCCGGGGCGGCGGAGCGTCGCTCCGAGAAATCCGCGCGGGCCTCCGAGTCACGGTGCTTGTGTCCTTGCTCGTTCCCCTACTACTTGGACGCCCGAAATGGGCACGGAAAGAATGGGTACAATGCCCAACAGCAAATGTTGTCCCGAACCAACAGCGGCCGCTGTTGGGCAGGCGGCCTTCTGTCTCGAGTGGACACAGGCCGCGACGGCGTGGAAACAGCGAGTCCTGCTCAAAATGAACAGGAACTGCTGTTGGGCATTGTACCCATTCTCTCCGTGCCCCTCTCGTTCGTGCAAATCTTACTGCGGAGGGTGCCGCCCGCCCTCGCCGCGCCCATGGGGTGCCCGTCGGGCAGGCCTCCGCGTCACGATGCACTGTGCCCTTGCTCGCTCCCCTGCTGCGCATGGCGCCCGCCCTCGCCGCGCCCATCGGGGTGCCCAGCGGGCGGGGCCTGCGGGCCCGCCTGCCCGACTCCTCGCCGTGCTCTCTCTCTCCGCTCGGGCCTCCTGCGCCTCGCGGGCGGCCCCGCCGCCGGAGGTGCCGCGCAGCACGCCCCGGCCGGCACCCCCCGCCGGGGGGCGCAGGCGGCAGCGGCGCCGCCGCCGGGGAGGCGGCGTCGTGCGCTTCCCGGCGCCGCGCCGAGCGTCTGCCAACGCCGTCCACCTCGTTGGCGACACGAGTGGCGCGCGTGCCATAGCTCCAGGGAGGAGGAGCAGGAGGAGGAGGAGGAGGAGGAGGAGGAGCAGGAGGAGGAGGAGGAGCAGGGGGGGCGGAAGAGGGGGCGAGCCATCGGAGGAGGAGGAAATGAAGAGGGGAGGGGCTCCCCCTCTTCCATTCGGGGAGGGGCTCCCCCCCCGTATGTTTTGTTTTTTGGGGGGGAGCGGTCGTAGCTGCTCGGATGGCCCAAGATTGCTCCAGCAGAGCCTCCGAGGCCCTCTGCGCCGCGAAATGAAAAGGTCGGGACGGAAGGGGCACTGGGCTGCTGGGGGCAGTCGGGAAAGGTGACGGGGGGGGTCCTGCGGGGGGGATGGGACGGGGGAGGCTGCGACGCGAAAGTAAGGGGGTCGGGGCGGAGAGGGCGCTGGGCTGCTGGAGGAAGGTAAGGACTGGGGGCGGGGGCTGTGGCCTGCGGGGGGCGAGGGGTGGGAACGGCGGGGGCGGGGGCGGTGGCCTACAGTGAGGATAAGGGGGTGGGAGCGGCGGCCTGCCGAATGGAAGGGCGTGGGGAGCGGGGAGCGGCGGAAGCGGCACTGGGTTGCCGGAGGACAGTGGGGATGAGGAGGCTGGGGCGGGGGCCTGCGGAGGGGGAGGCGTCCCTACGACGCGGAAGTGACGTGGTCTGGCCGGAAGGGGCACTGGGCTGCCGAGGGGAAGAGGCGACAGCGGGCGGGGACGGGGTCCTGCGGGGGAAGGGGCGTGGGGGCCTGGGGGGGTGGGAAGGCTGCGACGCGAAAAATAAAACGGTCGGGGCGGAGTGGGCGCTGGGCTGCTGGAGGACAGCGGGGACAGGGGGCGGTGGAGGTGGCCAACGAAGGGGGGTGGAAGGGGGGGCTACAAGGGAGAGGCTGCGACGCGGAAAATACTGCTCGAGCCAGAGGGGCACTGGGCTGCTGGAGGATCGTGGGGACATGGGGGGGGGCGGGGGCGGGGGGGGGGCCTGGGGGGGGGGGGGGGGGCAGGGGACGGGGTGCTGCGACGCGAAAACAAAGGGGTTGGCTGCTGGATGACCATGGGGACAGGGCGGCGTAGGCCATGGCCTGCGGGGGGGAGTGGAGTGCGGGACGGGAGGGGGGCGAGGGGGGGCGGGTGGCCGCGGCGCGAAACACAACGCTGTCGGGGGCGGAGGGGGCGCTGTGCTGCGCGAGGGTAAGGGGGGCAGGGGGGGCGGGGGCGGGGGCCTCATCAGGGACAGGGGGGTGGGGGCTGTGGCGCGCCGAGGTGGGTGGGGTGAGGGGGGCTGGAGGACGGCGTCGGTGGCGGCGGCCCGCGGAGGGGGGAGGGGGGGGGGAACGCGGCTGCGACGCGAAAAATAAAGCAGTCGTGGCGGAGTTGGGCTGCAGAAGGACCGCGGGGACCGCGGGCGGCGGCGGGGGGGGGGCACTCGGGCGAGGGGGGCGGGCTGCGAAGCAGAAAACGATCGAGGCGGAGGGGGCACTGGGCTGCAGGAGGACAGCGGGCGGTGGCGGAGAGGTCTGTGGGAGAGAACGGGAGATGGGAGGGCTGCGACGCGAACAATTACATGGTCGTCGCGGAGGGGGCGATGGGCTGCTGGAGGATAGCGGGGGCGGCGACGGTGGCCTGAGGAGGAGGTGGGTGGGTTCCGACGCGACACATAAAATGGTTGGGGCGGGGGGGCGTTGCGGCGGGGACGGGGTGTGGAGGGGGGCTGCGACGCTAAATCCGCGGGCCCCCTTGTGGGGCCACGAGGCTGTAAGGCTAAGGTTCGCAGTTTCCTGTGCCAGTTGCAGCTTCCAGTTTCCACTGTTACAATTATGCTTCTTGCTGCATACTGTTCCTTGTTGACTTCTTGCTGTTTACTGTTCCTTGTTGATGGACCGCGCGAGGGGGGGAGGGGGCATGTTTACCACGCCATGGGAGTGTTCTCAGAATTTCTGCGGGGGTAAAAATTAACACCCCTCACGCAGATCGGCGGGGTCAGGGCCCAAAAGCACATGGGATGTGCTACATTTCTGGTTTTCGATGGCACCCCTCACGCAGATCGGCAGGGTCAGGGTCCAAAAACACATGGGATTTGCCACATGTCTGAAATTCGGTGCACCCCTCATGCAGATCGGCGGGGTCAGGGTCCAAAAAAAACAAAGGATTTGCCACGGTGGCACCCCTCACGCAGATCGGCGGGGTCAGGGTCCAAAAACACATGGGAGTTGCCACATTTCTGAAATTCAGTGGCACCCCTCACGCAGATCGGCGAGGTCGCGACGTCTTACCAATCGCCAGGTGTGGTAACCCCTCTGGTCATCTATAAGTTTTGTTCATCACGGGTCGGCCTCGCATGAAGTTCCGATACTGCTTCACGACAGCGCCCAGGCCTCACGACATAGCTCTTGCATAGCGCATTCTCCCAGAGAAGGGGGCGGCGGCAGGGGGCGAAACCCTTACGGATATATACCACTCGGAACGGAGGGGGCAATGGGCTGCTAGAGGACAATGGGGACCGGGGGCGGGGGTGGGGGCCTGCGAAGGGAAGGGTGGGCGGGGGGAGAAGGGGGATGGGGCGTGGGGCTGCGATGCGAAACAACAAGATAGTCGGGGCGGAAAGAGCACAGTGCTGCTGGAGGGCAGTGGGGACAGGGGGCGGGGGCGGGGGGCCTCGGTGGCGACAGGTGGTAAGGGCGATGGCACGCCGAGGGGAGAGGGGCGGGGGGAGAGGGGGCTGGAGGACGGTGGCGGTGGCGTTGGCCCGCAGAGGGGGGGGCGGCTGCGACGCGAACAAGAAACCGGTCGGGGTGGTTTGGTCACTGGGTGCTGGACGACAGCGGGGGGCAACGGGCTGTGGCGGGGGCCTGTGGGCGGCTGCGACGCGAAGAATAGCACTGTCGGGCGGAAGGGGGGGCACTGGAGCGGGGAGGGGGCGGGGGTTAGTGCTGCTAAAAAGGGGTCTGAACTGGGGACGGGGGCAGGGGCGGTGGCCTGCTGGGGTGGTAGGTTTGGCGGGCGAAAGGGGGGGAAGGTGGGGGGAGGGGGGAGGGTCGGGGGGCTGCGAGGCGTGGGGGGGGGCGGGGGAGGGGGATGGGCGGGGTAGAGGTTTGGGGGGAAGGGGGGGAAGGTGGGGGGGAAGGTGGGGGGGAAGGTGGGGGGGAAGGTGGGGGGAGGGGAGTTGTCAGCGCGGAGAGGGCCCTGTGCTGCTGGAGGACAGGGGGGACATGGGGCGAGGGCCGGGGCCTCCGTGGGGACAAGGGGTAGGGGCGGTGGCCCTCCGAGCGGGGGGGCGGGTGGAGGCGGGCTCGGGGACGGCGTCGGTGGCGGCGGCCCGCGCGGAGGGGGAAGGGGGTGCGGGGGGATGTGGCCGCGACGCAAAAAAACAACTGTCGGGGCGGACGGGGGGCCCGGGCTGCTGGAAGACAGCGGGGGGCAGCGGGCGGGGGGGTGCCTGCGGGGGAGCGGGGTGGGCTGCGAAGAAGAAAATCAAGTGGTTGGGGCGAAGGGGGCACTGGGCTGCGGGAGGACAGCGGGCGGCGGCGGAGAGGCCTGGGGGGGGGGGGGGGGGAGTGGCGTACGGGGTGGGGGGGGGGGCCTGCGACGCTGTCTGGCGGGGAGTTGCGTACGGGGTGGGGGGGGCGTACGGAGTGGCGTACGGGGTGGGGGTGGGTGGGACACTGGTCTGCTGTGGACAGCGGGGACAGTGAGGACTGGGGGAAGGGGCATCAGCCTGCAGTTGGGAGGGGGGTGGGGAGGGGGGCTGCGACGCGTGACACAAGTGGCACGCGTGCCCTGGCTCTTGCACATTTGAGGAGAGAAAGAGGAGGAGGGGCTTGTGAGGGGGATCGACGACAGAAGGGCGGGACGGGCAGGGGGGGGCAGGGCGCCCTGTGCTGAGGGCCAGGGGGGGCGAGAGCCAAGGGGGGAGGCTGGGTCCAGGGCCAAGGCAGGAGGACTGGGGCTCGGACTGGGGGCCAGAGGTGTTGGGGCGAGAGGGCCAGGGGATAGGGGGCCAGAGCCAGGGGGACGACGACGAACCACGAACCACGAAAATAAAGGGTCCGGGGCGAGGAGGGCTGGGGCCAAGGCCAGGGTCGGGGCGAGTGGGGCCAAGGCCAGGAGACAGGCTGAGTTCAGCCAGGGCCAGAGGGCTGGGGCTCGGACCAGAGGCCAGAGGTCTGGGTTGGGGGGAGGGGGCGAGGGGAAGCGGGCCACAGCCAGGCGGACGGGGGCGAGAGGGCGACGGGAAGCGGGCCACAGCCAGGGAGACGACGACGAAGCACGAACCACGAAAATAGAAGGGCCGGGGCGAGGGGGGCTGGGGCCAGGCCAGGGGACGCCAGAGCCAAGGAGGGAGGCTGGGTGCAGGGCCAGGGCAGGAGGACGGGGGCGAGGGGGCCAGGGGAAGCGGGCCAGAGCCAGGGGGACGACGACGAACCACGAACCACGAAAATAAAGGGTCCGGGGCGAGGGGCCTGGGGCCAGGGCCAGGGGACGCCAGAGCCAAGGAGGAAGGCTGAGTTCAGGAGCCAGAGGTCCGGGTTGGGGCGAGGGGGCCAGGGGATGTGGGGCGAGAGCGAGGGGGACGACGACGAACCACGAACCACGAAAGTAAAGGGCCCGGGGCGAGGGGGGCGGGGATCAGGGCCCGGGGGGGACGAGAGCCAGAGGCTCGCACCAGGAGCCAGAGGTCGGGGTTGGGGCGAGGGGGACAGGAGATGGGGGGCGAGAGCCAGGGGGACGACGACGAACCACGAACCACGAAAATGAAGGGTCCGGGGCGAGGGGGAGCGGAGATTAGAGCCTGGGAGGGCCAGAGCCAAGGGGGGAGACTAGGTCCAGGGCCAGGGCAGGGGAACTGAAGCTCGGACCAGGGGCCAGAGGTCCGGGTATGAACCACGAAAATACAAGGTCCGGGGCGAGGAGGGCTGGGGCCAAGGCCAGGGTCGGGGGGACCAGAGGCCAGAGGTCTGGGTTGGGGGGAGGGGGCGAGGGGAAGCGGGGCACAGCAAGGGGGACGGGGGCGAGGGGGCGAAGGGAAGCGGGCCACAGCCAGGGGGGCGACGACGAAGCACGAAGCACGAAAATAGAAGGGCCGGGGCGAGGGGGGCTGGGGCCAGGCCAGGGGACGCCAGAGCCAAGGAGGGAGGCTGGGTGCAGGGCCAGGGCAGGAGGACGGGGGCGAGGGCTAGGAGCCAGAGGTCTCGGTTGGGGTGAGGAGGCCAGGGGAATGAGGGGCAGGGGGACGACGACGAGGATGGGGGGCCAGAGCCAGGTGGACGACGACGAACCACGAACCACGAAAATAAAGAGGCCCGACCTCTAGAACACGACTGTGCAAGAGAACAAAGTGGCCAGAGCTCCAGACACCCTGCGAAAGAGAATATAACGTTGCACACGACAGGGGGTAGGTATCCGCACAGTGTCTGAGCAGCTTGTCAAGGCCACCAATCTGATCTCGGAAGCCAAGCAACAGCCTGAATTGACAAACAACGTGGCTAAAACTTGGCTCATGGCTTCGGACAACACGCTCTTGTATTTGTTGCTGGTGGGTCCCCGAGTGACCGCGTGAAATCAGCTTGTTGTCCGACTCTCACCGCGATCTGGGAGGAGATGCTCTGGACGGTTCTCGGCGCAGGATCCCCATCCAGGCCTCGAGGTCGGCTGAGACCCGCGCGGCAGATGGCAGGCTCAAGAGGCCCGGTCGGGGCAAGGAAGCTGTTGGGGTCTTTCGGGCTGGTTCTGCGGCCAGAGCGAGCTGGGGGGGCGCTCATCTCAGGAGTCAACAGTACGGCGTGGCGAGGGCTCAGGGGTATCGGCTGCCCGCAGCTCAGGGCCACGCCGAGCGGGCGCTTCGCCTGGCTTCACTGTGCTGGTCTCTGCGTCCTGGTCTTGTGACCAGTTTGTGCATCTCACTGTGGCGGCTATCAAAAATATGGCTTCGGTTTGGTGGCACCGATCGGCCCGTCGTCATTCGATTGTGTCCGTTCTGGCTGATGCCCGAGAGTCGCTCGGTGAGGCCAGACCGTGGAGTGCAATCCAACAGCCGATAGCAGCTCTCGCTAACGCTTCAGAAAGTTCGTTGGGACTCGGACCTCGGCGAGGCCGCGCTGGCGGATCGGCATAACATGTTGAGCTCTAGATGGGTTCTCACTCGAGCTGTTAGCCCAGCACATCAGGCGGGCGTGCCAGAACACAATCGTGGCCGCAAAACGAAGTCGTCAATCGGATGTGGTTCAGACATGGGTCAGCCCGGCATGCTGCCGCCCCGCTCAGGCGCTTCTGGCCTGTAAAACGTCGGAAGGCGGGTCGGTTCACTGCCAGCAGATGCCCAGATATCGCGGGGCCAGCCGCTACCGATGCCAGGCGCGTGTCACAGACGAGCACCAAGAAATGCAACCTGCATGTCCAGCAATTGGCAGAGGCAAAGGCTCCCAACTTCGAGCCTCGCGCTGCGCGAAGCGCGAAATGCGAATAACGTCGCGCTCTCGCGCCGCCTCCCAGGGGAGACGAGGAGGATGAGGAGGAATCGGAGCCGAACCGCGAAGCGCGAATAACTTCGCGCCCCCGAGGGCACCCCTGCAGAGGGAGGGGGGAGGTGGGGAGAAGCAGGGTGGAGTTTCGGGGTGGTGAAACCTGCGATTGGGTCGGTTACAAAACACGATGCGAGTTTGCCGGTCGCCTTGCCTGCTCGGCTGAGAGCCTTGGGCCAGGCCCTCCCAGCAACTCGAGGGAGGTGATCTCTAGAACCACCCTCGTCACGACGCGGACATGGGTCCCCCAGCTCTGCTGAGCGTGAGGAGCATGGAGGAGGAGAAAGAAGAGGAGGGGGACGGAATGGGGGGGGGATAGGGCTGGTGGGTGCCCAAGAGTTGTGTGGGGTCCTGCGGGTTTCGTACTGCACCTCCCTGGCCCTGCTGTTGTCGCGGAAAGCGCTGTACACGGAATTCGCCACGTGCTCCCCCAGCACGTCGAGCGGCGCAGTGCATTTGTTTCACATGCATGGGTCTCTGGAGTTTCCCAGGGCCCCGGGGCACCCCATATCATCATCTTCTTCCCTCCTTCCCCTTCTCCTCCTCCTCCTCCTCCTCCACGACCTGAATTCCTTTTTCCTGAGAAGCAACTGCACCCCGTCGCACCCCGATGCAAGTTTTTAGGGCGGGCTGGGCATTTCGCCTGAGACTTCCTCACCATGTATGACGCTGAAGCTTGAAAATAAGGCACCGTTTCACAGATGGAGGGCGGATCGTTTGCAAAATGTGACTCTCGCCTTAGCGCCGCGCACATTCGTTGTAAAAAATGAAAGAGCTTCACAGATTGAGGGCGAGTGGTTTTCAAAATGTGGCTCTCGCTTTGCCCGCAAAAATTCGAAAGAATAACAATATCACGGCTTGAGGCGATTCGATTTTTTAATGTCACTCTCGCCTTAGCGCCGCGCACATTCGTTTCAAATATTTGCAAGAAATTCACGGTTTCCTGTGCTCAGCGTACCAGATATGGCGTTTTGGAAGGATTCCAGATTATGAGGGTGCGCAGTTACGTTGACTCGCGGTGATGAAGTACCAGGAATGGCGTTCTGGCACCATTCGGGATCGTCAAGACGCAACAGTCAGGTTGACCCGTGACTTTGAATCCCGAGAACAATGTTTTGGCATGCTTCAGGGTCTTCAAACGGTTGCCTCCCAACGGGGCAATTCCCTCATTGAAAAGAACCCGTGTAGGAACCTATGAAGAGGAAGCTTGGAGGGAGGGTTTATTACAACATCGCTGGTGACTCTTGGGTTTACACTGGTCCTTCTCCTCCGCCTCCTCACTCTCCGCATCCAGCTCATCCACTCCTACCTCTACCTCCACCAACTCCTCCTACTCCACTTCCTCCACCTCCTCCTCCTCCTCCTCCTCTTCCTCCTCCTCCTGCTCCTCTTCGTTCTCCTCTTCCGTTCTCTCCCGTCCAAAATCAGATACTACTTTACACGAAATAACGCCAAACCTGCCGCATAGCCAGCCACTAGCTCACACATGCGGGCCCTTCCATCTTACCCGCGACAACACAACACAAAGTCGACGACGCTCGCCTCAACATGGGAGTTATGCCGCCCTCCCATTTTTCGCACCAAAAAAGAAACAAACAAAAACAGCCTCACACAAAAACACACAGAAACAGAACGCACAAACACACACACACACACACACACACATAGTCAAAAATCCGAAGAAGGACGCGCAATAAGGACGCAAGACCCTTGGAGGCCGCCCGCCCCAAGGGTGCCCTGACAAGCGGGCACGCGAAATAGGCCAAGGACGAGCCGCAAGAGCAAGGAAGAGCAAGGACGCCAGGGTACCCTGAGCAAAGTTGCGCGTTCTTATTTGGGTTTTTGACTGTACGCACACAAAAAACAAACAAAACAAAACACGTGGCCATGATGGGACGGGGCGCGCACACTCCGCAGGGAAGTCCGACTGTCGCTCTCGAAGCCTCGGCACCGCGCTCGCTCTCCAAATGAGGACCGACCTCCCGCGGGGGCGCAGCGCGCGCCTCTCGCACGCCACGCCGTCGCCCGCGCGGAGCGGGCGAAAGGCTATAGTCTTCGCCCGGGCGCCGCGCAGACTCCGCAGGAGAGCAGGGGCTCCCAGCTGCGCGCCCCGCGCTTCGCGCGAAGCGCGGAGCGCGAGCATTCGCCTCGCGCCCCCGCGCCGCCTCCCAGGGGAGAGGCGGAGGAGGCGGAGGCATCGGAGCCGGACCGCGAAGCGCGAAGCACGAATAGCGTCGCGCCCGCGTGGGCGCCCTGGGAAGATGTGAGCCGGGACCGACCGTCCCGGCATTCCTGTAGTCCTACCACGAAATCTTCTTAGAAACCAGTGATGTTCTAAGAACAAGAACAATGTTCTCAGAACAGGCACCCGATGTGATAAAACGGGACAGACTCTGCCAGAAATGTTCTGAGAACATTCCGTGGAAGCCACAAAAAAGGTTCTCAGAACATTGTCTGGCAGGGCTATAATGAAGGGGCCCTGGGACACACAAACAAATACACACAAATAACCGGATCCCCCATACGTTCTCATGTTATCTGGGTTTTTGTCCTCCCCCCCACCTCCAATATTTTCCTATATTTTCTGGGGAATCGACGATGAATTGTGTCTGCATGTTGTTGTTTCCCCTCCTGATATAGGCGAGCCAGGACTACGGGGCGTGAAAACGACCACAACCACTGCTTTTCTTTTGTTGCCGCCTTCCAGCCCGCAGAAACAAAGCAGTGGCTGTGGTCATTCTCGTTGAGCTCGGCACCAAGGAACTGACCACAACCACTGCCTCTTTTTCAGCCGGCTGGAAGGCGGCGCAGAAGAGAAGCAGTGGCTGCGGTCATTCCCCCGCCCCGCAAGGACGCCTCGCCACTGCTTGGACCATGGCGCTCCCGCCTCCGCGGTCGGCGCAGCTCCGCCCCGCGCGGGATGGGCCGCGCGTCGCCCCCGCCCGGGCCCCCCCTTTTCGCCGAGCGGCCACGGCCACGGAGACGGCCGTGGTCCTCACCCCCCCGGGGGGAGCCCATCGCGTCGACGATCTCTGTCTCTCTCTCTCTCTCTCTCTCGAGAGAGAGAGAGAGAGAGAGAGAGAGAGAAGCCGTGCACATCTGCAGTCGGCCTTGATCGGACAGGACACGCACTCTCTCTCTCTCTCTCTCTCTCTCTGGCGGCGCGCACAAGGGGGTAGGGGGAGGGGGGAGGGCTTCTTAGGAGGCTGCTTCTTAGAGGGCGCCGGCCTTACATCTACAGACAAGGCCCGCCGCTTCCAAGAAGCAGGTGTGCTTCTAGGAAGCCCTCCCCCCTCCCCCCACCCCCCTCTGCGCGTGGTCGATCTAAAGAGAGAGAGAGAGAGAGAGAGAGAGAGAGAGAAGCCGTGCACATCTACAGTCGGCCTTGATTGGACAGGACACGCGAGAGGACGCAAGATCCTTCCGAGGGCCACATCGCCACAGGAGAGTGAGAGGGCACGTGCCGCGAGGCACAGGACACAAGGGTACCCTTCAGCTGGCAGGGTCGACCTAATAATCCGGGCCGCCTGCAAGGTGCATTGGCAAACGAGGGCGAAGCCGTGGGGAGCCGTGCGAAGCACGAGAGCATTCCCTCCGCAAGGCACGTCGACATCGATGTGTCCCCCCCGGGGGGTACGGACCGCAGCTCCCCCGGCCGTGGCCGGCCTGGTACACGTGTCGCTCGGTGGCGCAGTCCCGCGCGGGCGCGGCGCAGCGGCTCGGTGGCCGCGCGCTTCCTCGAGGGGGCCCCTCGGGCAGGGGCGGCAGAAGGCTCACGCCGTCGCCCCGCCAGTCATGGGAAGTTCCGCTGCGCTCACCGAGTTCGGGCCGTCTTCTCTACAGCACCCGCGCGATCAACATCCTGCTCCTTCTCCTCCAGCTTGGCCTCCATCCCTTCTGGATGAGTCCTCCCTGTCGCACATCCACACGCGTCGTCAGGACAGGCCAGGCGGGTCGCCTCCACTCGTGATCCTGGGAGCTGCAGCTGATGATTGCAACCGTTGCACGGATGGAGGGCGGGCCCATTTTTCACATGTACCCTTCCCCCTGACGCTGCGCACACTCGTCTTACAGTATTGCAACAGCTGCAAAGATGGAGGACGGATGGTTTTCGAAGTGTGGCTATCGCCTTAGCACCGCGCACATCCGTCTTAGTCTGCAGCATGTTCAAGAATGGAGGGCTCTCGCCTTGGCGCCGCGCAAAATTTGCGGCTCTCGCCTTAGCGCCGCGCACAGTTGTCTGAAAAGTGTGCGACAGGTTCAAGGAGCCGTAGGGTTGAATTCCCATGACAAGCGTTCTGGCACGATTTAGGATTGCCAGGACGCCACAGCCTCGTTGATTCGCGAAGATGAAGTCCCAAGGCTGGCGTTCTAGCACAATTTAGCATGGCCTGGACGCAACAGCCACCTCGATCCGCGGCGTTTTAGCATTGTGCTCTGGCACGATTGAGGATTATCCGACGGCTGCCTTTTAGTGGCCCGTTTCCCGCATCGGACATGATTTTCTACATACCCATGAAGAAGGAACTTGGAGGGAAGGAGTACTGCAACATTCGGGGACACGTAGGACTCGGCTTCGGGGAATTCGGGTTAGCCCAGCGGGGCAATGATGAAAATGACGAGACGCACTCTGAAATCTGGCGCGAGCTCCCGCTGCAGACATCCCACGAAAAATGGACCGTCTAATCCATAACGCGGTAGTCAAAGAGCGTCGGCAAACCCGAGTTCTGGCGCACTCGAGTCTTACGCTCCACCGAAATATCGTTGATGCATCTTCGAATCACAATGGTTCCTGGCTCCTGATGGCGAGAGGTGTCGTCGACAGCAGCCCCCTGCAAGGGCCGGTCGGCCCTAGGGGGTCGTTCGGACTGGACAGCAGCCGTTGCCACCAGCCGTAAGGAGATTGTCCTTCAGAGAGTAGACAGACAGCACTACGAGGGATGAGCAAAACAGCAGAGACCATCCTAACCTCCGTGGGTCGCGGGCGCGCAAACATGGATCAGCCATCCATGGATCTGGCACGCGGTCACCTCATCAATGGATCGGGGGAGGTGCCCTCCCCAACGTGCGGCCGAAGCCGCCTCGCTCGGCGGTGGAACCCCGCGATCTCCCGTGGAAACGGGACCCGTCGCTGATCCACGCCCCCTTGATCCATGTTTGCGATCGCCTGAATGGGTTCACCCTGGCCATCCCCCTCCTCTGGTTACGCTTCGTGGCCCCATAGGGAGCTCCACCGAAGGCCCCAGTGGCTGCGCTCGCATGCGGTTCCACCCCCCCATTCTGGCACACCCCTCGCACGCTTCGTGGCCCCATAGGGAGCTCCACCGAAGGGCCCAGTGGCTGCGCCCGCATGCGGTTCCACCCCCCATTTCGGCACACCCCTCACACGCTTTGTGGGTGGCTCCATAGGGAGCTCCACCGAACACCCCAGTGGCTGCGCTCGCATGTGGTTCCCCCCCCCCCATTTCGGCACACCCCTCACACGGTTCGTGGCCCCATAGAGAGCTCCACCGAAGGCCCCAGTGGCTGCGCTCGCATGCGGTTCCACCCCCTTTTTCGGCACGCCCTTCACACGTTTCGTGGCCCCATAGGGAGCTCCAGCGAAGGCCCCAGTGGCTGCGCTCGCATGCGGTTCCACCCCCCATTTCGGCACACCCCTCACACGCTTCGTGGCTCCATAGGGAGCTCCACCGAAGGCCCCAGTGGCTGCGCTGTCATGCGGTTCCACCCCCCATTCTGGCACACCCCTTGCACGTTTCGTGGCCCCATAAGGGGCTCCACCAAAGGTCCCAGTGGCACCGCCCGCATGCGTCCGCCACCACCCAGCACAGCCCTTGTTCCCTGCGCTTCACCCACCCAGAACAGCGTTTCGTGGCCCCATAGGGAGCTCCAACGAAGGTCCCAGTGGCACCGCTCGCATGCGTCCGCCACCACGCAGCACAGCCCTTGCTGACCGCGTCTCACCCACCCAGTACAGCGTTTCGTGGCCCCATAGGGAGCTCCACCGAAGGTCCCAGTGGCACCGCCCGCATGCGTCCGCCACCACCCAGCACAATTGCAGCATTCACAACTGCATATGGTTGGGTCCTTCGCCAGGCTAATTTTCGTCGAAAATCCCCCTGTAGGGGGACAGGCCCGACTGAATCCTCTGGCCGGCCCGGGCCCCGGCCCAGGAGAGGCCACCGAGGCTGCCTCGAGGGGACCCCGGCCGCTGCCTCCCGAGGGGTCCCCACGAGCACCCAACCGGGGGCCCCACGAGCGGCAGCCTCCGAGGAGGCAGTTCCTGGGGCCGCCCAGGAGCCTCAAGTCGGGCGCGCCCCTCCACAGGAATACTACACAGGAGGAGGAGGAGGAGGAGGAGGAGGAGGAGGAGGAGGAGGAGGAGGAGGAGGAGCAGGAGGTATGGGGACGACTTGCTATTGTTTGTTGACTGTTTTTGGTGGTTTGGCTTCTGTCCATTCTTCTTCCAACACCCACCCGTGGGAGGACACGCCCGACCCGACAGGGGCCCCAGGACGCCTCGAGAGATCACTCCTGGATGCCCCTCCGCCGCACCAAGACAGCACGAGGAACCCAAAAAACGGGCCGAGCCCACCTCGAGACGACTTCCAGCCTGGAGGTCGATCACCGGGAGGGGAGAATACATCGGGAGGGGGAGAGGGGAACTACAACACGGTTGCCTCTCTTTGGGGGCCCGCGGTTGCAGCCCCCGTGGCCGCCGATGGCCTCGTGGGGGCTACTTTCTTGAACTCCTCGACCCCCCCCCCGCTGAGGAAACCGAGAGGTACCAATACCGCTTCTTCCCAGGACCTCTCCCAAGGCGCGTCCTGACCCGACTTTCGAGGCGAATCCAGCCGTGGCGACGAGGGCCTCCCAGGAGGCCAAAAAACGCGAAAACCTTGCAAAGATACAGCAGAGGCCCGGCCACAAGAAACCTTCCACAAGAAACCCGACCCTGAGACCCCAGGACGTGCATTGATTTTTGGTGTGGGAACGTCACGCTTCCCATCGTAGAACCATCGAAACTCCTTAAAACCCAGGGTACCCTGGAGGCAAGCAGGGTGTTTCTTGGCATCGGTCTCCACTGTACCACTTCCTCCTCTGAACTGATTGCCCCCCGCCACCCCGCGCCCAGGTCGGCCAGGCGGGGGAGCTTGCCGCAGGCACCGTGGTATATCCGGCCCGCAACAAGTCCAGCACCACCCGGCGGCCCAGCTCTCCTCAGGCGGGACCGCTCGGCCTCCGCCTCCCTCCTCCTCGTCCTCCTCCACCTTCACCTTCACCTCCTCCTCCTTCCGCTCCTTTAGCTCCTTCAACTCCTTCACCTCCTTCATCTCCTCGGCCTGCTCCTTCTCATCTGCCCCCTCATCTTCCTTCTTTTCCTCCTCCGCCTCGTCCTCCACTCCTTTTCCTTACAAGCAACTCCTCCCTGGCACACTAGAACTTGGAAAGTCTTTCACAGATGGAGGGCGGGCCGTTTCCACAATGTAACTCTCGCCTTAACGCCGCGCACATTCGTCTTACACATGTGCACAAGATTTACGGATTGAGGGCGGGCAATTTTCAAAATGTGGCTCTCGCCTTAGCGCCATGCAAATTGACTTCGAACATTTGCAAGAGCTTCACGGGTCGAGGGCGAGTGCCTGTTAAAATGAGGCTCTCGCCTTAGCGCCGCGCACATTATTATTATTTTAAACATTTGCAAGAGTATCACATATTAAGGGCGGCTCCTCTTCAAAATGTTCTAAATGTGGCTCTCGCCTTAGCGCCGCGCGCACTCGTCTTAAACATGTGCCAGGATTTAAACTATTCCCTGGGTTAGCGTAGGAAATGCATGGCGTTTTGGAACAGCTCAGGATTGCCAGGACGCTGCTGATAAGTTGACTCGCGGTGTTGACGTCCCATGAATGGTATCGTCAAGACGCAACGGTCAGGTTGATTCGTGGCGTTGGAGTCCCGAGAATGGTATTTTGCCACGCTTCAGTATCTTCAAACGGTTGTCTCTCAGCGGCGCACTTTCCTGTGGAATTGAACCCTTATAGGGGCCTATGAAAAGGGAGCTTGGAGGGAGAGTCTGTTCCCACATCGTGCATGATTATTGCGTTTACACCTGTCCTCCTCCGCCTCCTCCACCTTCTCCTCTTCCTCCTCCTGATCCTCTTCCTCCTCCTCCTCCTCTTCATCCTTCACCTATTTCACCTCCTCCCTCATCCTCCTCCTCCTCCTCTTCCTGATCCACCTCCTCCTCCTCCTCCTCCTCCTCCTCCTCCTGCTCCTCTTCTTCCTGTTCCTCATCCTCCTCCTCCTCCTCTTCTTCTTCCTCCTCCGCCTTGGTTCAGCTCCAGTGAGAGAAGCCAGAGTCTCTCGAGACGCGTGCGAATGGAGCGCAGACGGCTAGCTGGACAGTCCCCGAGAGTTTCGACACCTAACTCGAACTCGTCTGGAGCTTCACTTTTTTTGACGCATGCTTAGTGCGGTTGCACAATCATAGCTGTTGCCGAACTCCT